TCTCCCACCCAGAACCAGGCTAAGGTCAGACTGATAGATACATCCTGACATGCACACAGCCTGTGATGTCAACTGTGTGTGTCTCTGGGTGTGTATCTGCATCAGTGCTTATGTGGGTGTCGGGTCATGCAGGCCATCTAAGCACAGGAACGTTCCAAAGGACAGATAAGCCATCAGAGAGAGGGAGGAGGGGGTGGTGGGGCGGTTAGTTTGGACTCAGCCTGCTAGTTTTACTGGTTTCAAAGGATTTTTTTTTCTGGAGAGTAGAAGCAGGGTGAGGCTTGGCTGCCAGACAGGGTGGGTGAAGGGCCTGAGGTGTAAGGGTAGGCCCGAGGTGGAAGAAGAAAGGCTCCATTCATGAGTGGTGCCATCTCTGGCTCTCAGTGGGACAGGGACTCGTCACTGACCGGGCCAGCTGGGAGGATGTCAGTAGGCAGACCCCCCCCCCCCCTTCTTTCCCCTCTCTTCATTTCATCCTTCTTCATTCTTTTGTCAACATTCAGTGCCATCAGAGCCTCCAGGCTGACACGTAGGCTTCTCGTGCACTTGGGTCACTTCCTCAATTCAGAACAAAGTCATTGTTGTGGAATGTGCACCATCTATAAGGAAGCTCACTGCTATCCTCAAAGTCAAGTCGAGCTATAGGTGGAGTGCAGCTCCATGGTGCCTGTCTGAGTGTTTGATGCTCCTGTTCCGCATCTATTTCTTTCTTGATGAGCTAACCGTTTTACAAGAGAGGAGGTTACCACTCTTAAAACACTCGACAGAAAATAAAGGTGTTTCTCTCTCTTTTTTTTTCTTGCAAACTAAGCACTTTGGTCAAGTTTTTGTGCTTTGTAAATAACACCCTCTCCTTTCCTTAACCTACATTGGATATGAAGGATTTATATTTAACTGCATTAATTGTCAGTCTTTTGTGCTCTGCCACTGTAGGAAGGAAAGGGGGGCAGGAAAAGGAGCAAGGGTTCTGAGCTGCACAGATGTGTGTGCTGTTTATCACTGCCAATGAAAGACCTGCATCAGCAGCAGCTGTGGAGTGCTTTGCATGCAGTGGCAGCCGTGTGTTAGCAGGGGCACATTTGCATTCGCGGTTTGGTATCACGAGCGACAACGTTGCTTCTTCTTTCTTCCTTCCTCCCTTCCTTTGCTCAGCAACAGCAACAACAGTGTATGAGAAAAGCCTAAGTGGAGCAGTGGAGCATGACCCAGGAAGGTTTCGGTGAAATGGATCCAAGCATAACACCGATGGCAAAACTCTCCGCTGTGCACAGGGGCAAAGTTCATGTGGCACACAAACAAGGATGCAGCACAAGCCGCTTGTCGGTTAATGTTGCTGTAGTTAAAGTAGCTTCTTAAATATGACTGTTTACATCTGTTTGTATCAGAAGTTTCAATGGTGAGATTTGGCTCAAAACTGGGTAAAGTCCCATGGTCAACCATGTGATTTGGAAGACCTTCACTTCCCCTGGCTGTTATTATATTATAAGGAATTTTGGTGAATAGAAATAACCTTGTCCCCTTTTTCTGAGAATCCATCTTGTGTTTTGAGAACAGCCACTTTTTGTGCAGTTCAATGTGGCTCAAACATATATTTTCTCCAGGCTCAGATAAGGCTTTTGAATGTCTCATATTAATGCAAATGAGGGCATATATTTGTTGTGCGTGTGCTTGATCTAAGGATGTGTGACTTGTGTGACGGATGTCAATTGCATAATAAAACGACACAGCAGCTATTGTGTATTGACTTTACTATAGTCTAAAACAATACTGCTGTATTGACATATTACATGGCTGTGTTGGACTGCAAAATAGAAGCAGAAGTGAAGGCGTCAAAGGAGCACTTCTTCTTAGGGCTTTATTTTTTAGAATTTCAAGGAAAATGGGGTTTCTTTATATATATATATATATATANTCTGTAGTATTTACTAGTGACCATATACTGTGAAATTAAATCATATAGTGTGTTCAGTTTATTTTTATTAATATTTTTTAATTTTTTCAATGTAGGTAGATTACTTTAGCCTGGTCATTGAATAGTCGCTCCCAAGCCTAAAGAGTGTGGACATCCCTGAGCTAGACGTTTTCTAAAGTAGACAGATCTGGACTGCAGGCACGACAGAGAGGCTACACTTTTTGTGATTTGTAGTATTGATCTCTTCCATGAACTTTCTCAGGTGAAAATGTCAGGTATTGCTCCTGGCCTTAACATTTAAAAAAAAGAAAGAAAAAAAAACATTTTTTCTTTCTCTAAATACTATGTATAACATTATGTGTCATAAATGTTCTAAAATTCACTGTAAAGAAAACCCCTCATACCTACTAGTCTACATGGACAAAAACAATATGATAAATTACTATACCACAGATTTGAACTGTTTGTTAAAGTTTTAGGAAGCATAGCCAGTGGTGTGACTGAGGATCATGACTTCTCCGTGTGCTGGTTTGTCATTGTGCTGTCATGGAGCTATTATTGTTCCCTTTTTCTCACAGCTTGTTAAAAGATCATGCTGACCCCGCTTCTATTCCCCTCCCTTCTCATATCTTCAGCAGAACCTGCTGTTCTTTCAGCCATCACCTCTTTCCAAGCTCCTTTATGCTTCCTTGGCAGATGAACGCGTCTTTACGTAGTGCCTTAAAATACTGTTGCCAGAGTGTTGTCTGGGTGTCTGTTCCCCTGCTGCCCCTGTGACCCCAATAACCAACATGTGTGACAAGAACTCCTCACTGAGAAAAGCTCCGTGCCTCCTTATTTGCTTATTTCTTCCTCTCTTTTCCTCTCTCACTCTCTCTCTCCCTCTCAAACTCCGCACTCTTTTTCCCGTTCTGGTCTTAATTTTCCTAATCCTAATCTGCCTCCATATGTGAGCGATATCTCTTGGTGCGGTGGCTCGCCTGTGCCCTCTTTTGTTTATACTATGCATCAGCAAGCAAGGGAACAGGAGGCAGAGGACAAAAGTCCAAATATAAGATTTATTTTTCACAGAGACCTTCAGCTTTCAAAATATTCTCCCTTCACCTATCAGCAGATTCTGAAGCATTAGTAACCCACACCCGCACACAGTAATCCTCAAACCTTCAGCAAGCCAAGGTCAGAATCCTTCATTTTTCTCCCCATGACTAAAACCCTAAAAGAGCTTCCCAGGCTTAAAGGGTACCAGCCCACTTATCCTCGTCACAGTAATTGTGAACTTGGCTAAGAGAAAGTTACACTTTCCATTTTTTTTCTTTTCACTTTTTGCAATCACTACATCATGGTTTTGATATATCAGGTGACATTTCTGTTTGACATTTGAAGAAAACCATAATAGTATCAGTGCGGAAATGTCCTTTATGTTAATGAAAGATTAATAACCTCCTTCCAGTGGTTTGACTTTTTATGGAGCCGTCAGTGTGTGCCAGGGTTATTTTAAACCTCTTCAGAGATTTGAGTTCACAAAAAGTGTGTTAGTCTTTCTGACAGGGCATAAAATGTGTTGAATGAATTTTGGGAATATTTGGGATCTGCAGCGATGTTCAAATAACTGAAATCTCGCCTGATAGATATGTGTGTGTGATGTGTCACTGAAGTGATCTGAAGCCTGTTTTTGTTTGAAAGACGAGGAGGTGAAACGCACTGATTGGGAATTAAGTTCTGACGTTATTAGCTGAAATGTGCTCCTGCGAGAAGCCTACATGAAGCTCATTACTCGCTCCAGAGAATAATAATGTTGGTTTTATTTTCCGGGGCGTAATTGCTTCCACTTTGGTTAAAGACTGTGGATTATGAAACACAGCAAGCACTTCTACCTCAGACCCTGCAGTGACGGCCAGTGTCTGAGAACAGTGACTTGTGCTCATGTCTGATTACCAATGGCCTCTTGTAAACAGAGATTGTGTTGTTTAGCTGTTAGAAACTCTGACGCTTTTCTTGTTTACACTGAAACCAAAAAAGCTGTCAGAAGACCACCCGTGTGTGTTATTTTTGAACATACTGGGGTTCCAGGATTTCAGAGTTAAAATAGAGGAAATGTTTTATTTCTTTTTTTTCTCCTGTTCGTGTGACACTCTTCACTCTGCACATACTTTAATATGTTACCTTGTCTGGTTCTGTGTGTTATTGTTGCACTCTCCTCAGAAATGTAGCAGATTAGTTGCTGAGTGTTTTGAAAATGACAGCGATGCTAATATTTGTTGACATGTCACATCAACAGCACATATGCAGCACGTGCACTCAGCAACCTATCAGTAGGAGCAGTATAAAGTCTCACAGTTACTATGGTTATGACAATTAGTTGTCTAATCAGTGATTTCCTGCTCAGTTAATGAAAAAAATGTGAGTTAATCCTTGTAAATAAACACAAGCGGTTCACTGGAATTTAAATATTTTTCATTAACCGTCCATTCTACCGATTTCCACTCCGAACTCTTCACCAGTCTGCCACAGAGCCACTCATAGTGACATTCATATGGTCAATGTAGACGCGGTGGTTTCCCGTCTGTTTGGGCTTGTGACCCCATTTTGACATCACTTTCTGGCGACCACAGAGACATTTTCATAGCTGTCACTTGTCCAGTCAGTGAAGATGTACCAGGTTAGGAATTGTTATATATGCTACATTTTATTTGAATTCATTTTATATTTCTGAAAGTGAAACAATATAGTTGTCATGTGGTGCTTTTAATCATAATTTTAAAAAGGATAATACTTACTACACATTTCAGCCCCATCTGAATTCAAGGCGGCCCCAATATGGGGCCCAACACTAAGGTTGAAAAACATTGACGTAGAGGGTTTATTAACAGGTTTTTGCACTGTGGGGGGAAATTGACATACCTGCAGACACACAAACACTCAAAAATCAAACTTTGTGATCTCTTGCTGTAAGGCAAGTGATTTAACCACCCCTCCACCATGTGGCCCACATGTTTAGTTTTGATTATTTATCTATGACGATACTTTAACCCCAACCATGCGGCGTGCATACTTCAGTGCAGTAATAGTACTGTATTTCTTCACGCAGAGCTCCAGAGATCATCCTGGGTCTGCCGTTCTGTGAAGCCATCGACATGTGGTCCTTGGGCTGTGTGATAGCTGAACTCTTCCTGGGATGGCCCCTGTACCCCGGCGCCTCGGAGTACGATCAGGTAACACATACACTAATGCTGCGCCTCCATGCTGCATCCTAGCCTTCAGACAGGAGGGGTTTGTGTTCACAGTAGGCCAACACCTGCGTCTGTGGGCGTTAAGGGATTCTCCTGTTTTCTTGCCGACAGCCCCTGATGATTCTTGTGCAGCCTTGCTGTTTATCTCCACATATGTCACTGAGATCGTTGTCCAATTAGTGCAGCCTCAGTGCTGCAGAGCAAGACACTACGGCGTTACGTTTTTACCATCAGTGAATGTGTGTGGCAAAAAAAATCATAAAAATATTTAAAATATTACTTCTCTGAAAGGGAAAAATACATAAACATACAATTGTTTATTTAAAAACATTATTTTTCATACTGCAGTGTGATTCTGCCATTTATTTGTTCTGCAGTTTTCTTTCAATTCCTCCATGCTGCTCATGTAGTGGAAAGGAGACATTATTAGGAACGATCAGGTATGAGGTGAAGAATGTGCAGGGTGAATTTTATCAGAATACACAAGGAAAGTGAATTTGGTGTTCCTTTTATTGCAACTTCCCCTGTGTACTTCACATTGAAAGAAGTTGTTAAATGATTGTAAAGTGTCTCATTTGTGAGCCTGACATCAATCCTAAACTCAGCAGAGATGCTGTTTGTGCACCGTGCCAATTTCAGCCAGATTAACTTTGCATCAGTTTATGTCAGAATGGATTTTTCTAACGCCAGAAAGACATCCTCTCTGAAGCGTTTGGTTTTTAATGGAATAATCAGGACATATGAGAAGTCTTTTTTTTATGCCTGTGATTTCATTTTTCATCATCTGCAGATCCGGTACATCTCACAGACCCAGGGTCTCCCTGCAGAGTATTTGTTGAGTGCAGGAACAAAGACCACCAGGTTCTTCAACAGAGACCCCGACTCCACCTATCCTCTCTGGAGACTCAAGGTACAGCTGGAATGACAGATGTATCCGCGTACACACAAATATTCCCAGCTGGAAGCATCAAACACTTTCTTTCTAGCACAAGGTCGACCTTCACGAGCAGGAACTTTTCCAGTGGAAGCTGATGTTAATATTCCACAACGGGTTATTGTGTGAGCTATAGACTGTACAAAAAAGTAAAATGATAATCGGTGCAAAAAGTTTTGAATATGTGCATAAGGAATTTTACAGTATAGAAATAGAACCTCTGTCTGCTGAGTCCCTGTGTCCTCTCCCACTCTCCTCTCATTGGTCACTTAGTAAGGAACCCTAACCCCTGTCTTTTAACCGGTACAATACTTGCATTAACTGTGTTTGTCACACCACAAATGTGGGCCACGAAATCTTTATTCTGTCAAACAACACCTGTTTAACAAACCTTGGCTCTGCCTCTGCCCTGCATGAAAGAATGAATTTTATATGAAGCTCATTCACATGTACCACGTTAGCAACAGCTGATTGCAATGGTGACTGAATATAGTCGTATAGTGTGCAATTATTTTGATCAGCTACCTACAGTCTTTCAGCTTTTTATAGTCTCACTTCTGTCTTCTGGTGTTTGTTTAACTTTTTTTTAAGCCTTTATGATATAGTCAACTATGGATGATGTAACAAAGAATTTCTTTATAGTTTAGCAGCACTATTTTGACCCATTCAGACCTTACTTTTTTCAAACACTGTAACTACAGGACTACAATGCAACTATTTTTGACATAAAGACATAACATTACGAGTTATTGTGATAATATTTGGCCTTGGTGAAATAGTTATGTAATTCTACAGCAAACTACTTGTACTTGTTAGCTTCTTGGAGTAAAACAGAAAAAAAAAATTCTGTAAAAGCAGCTTTACTAATTTTGAACTCCAAATAACAGATTTAAATCTAATAATACCACAAATACAGTTGCTTAAAGAGGTCCAACTATTCAGCCAACTATGTAACAATATGTTTATACAGTATCCATTTTAAAACTATTGTCCAGTTCAGAGGTCAAGCTATGGAAAAGTTTATATATTGATGTTTTATACAAAAAAATCAATTTCCAATAATAAAAATCATAATAGGAATAAAACAGGTCTGTTTATCTAAACCCCCTGCAGTACCTCTATAATCCCCCTTGGGGTCGGGGACCTTGTTGAATACTATTTTTTTTTAATGCAAATAAGAACTCTCAGGTTACGGAACAGCATGAATAACATAAGTTCTAAGGCAGAATGATTAAATCACTTAGCCCTGCAGTTTTTTATCGTATGTTCAGTCAAACAACAAGGCTTTCTGATCTTTTTTTTTTTTCTTTAAAGATTGATTGCTCAGCATCACTTTGACCTTGCCATGAGTTTCTGTAGAGCAGCCGCTGCACTGCCTCACTGACTGTAATTAAAAGACCTTTTGTTAGGTCAGGAGGCTTTCTGTAGTCAACACTGGTCAGTTTTCTTCATTACTTGGTTCACTGAAATGAAGTTCTTTTTTCATCAATACTACATATTGATATTAATTCTACAATTATTATTTTTCAAAATAGTATTGACAAATATGTGTGTGTGAGTTGCTCCATGTCCAGAGTACGGACCCCCACATGCAGTTTCCCCCAATTTTCCCTTGCTTTAGGTTGTGTTACCCCAGGGTTGCTCAAAGGGCAAGCTGAGTCCTGCTGCACATCAACAGCAAGAGGCTGTAATGAGCCAAATGTAAATAGTGTGTTTCCAGAGGGAAAGTGTGGTGGGATTTTAGAAGAACATCTGCTTCTTGTCTCCCTCAGACTCCAGAGGACCACGAGGGTGAAACAGGGATCAAGTCCAAGGAAGCTCGCAAGTACATCTTCAACTGCCTGGATGATATGGCACAGGTATGCTGTTTCACCATCACAGAATTAACAATCAGTACGTGAAATGTGTCTAAATGTGGTAAGACAAGATAGAGTTAAAGATAGAGAGTTTTTCATAGATATATATATACGAATATATATGGTAAGTTATATATTTATATATTTCTTCTTATTTATATTTTATGTATATTATATATATACCTTTATGTACTAAATATATAAAGTATATAAAGGTATATTTTATATATATTTTTATATAAAATGTTTTATATAAATGTATAAAATATATACACATATATACTATATATGTATATATTACATTATACATACTGATAAACAGTGTTTTATATATTTATTAACAGGTTCACACTATATTATTCATATTTAAACTGTTATTAAGTATTCCTATATATATATAATAAAGTAAATACATATGCATAAATATATTGTAAGGACTTGTTGCTGTGCTTGTCTGTCTCTCCAACTATATTTTGCTTTACTCTGACTGGAGGCCGAGGTAGCCCAAGTCTCCGGCCAGTTTGATCCGTCACATCCAAGCATATCAAATAATAAATATTGGCATTAATAAAATATTTATTCTTTCAAAGTCTCAGCAGCAAATACAGTGTAGCATTGCTGCAGTGCAGGATAAAGAGTAGAATCAAAGCAGACACTCACTCAGCCCCCTGTTCAGATATAAGTTAACCACCATCTAATAAGTTATAGACACATGTGGTTACTCAGTGCTTTGTGCTTGTTTGATCAGTATAGTCTGTAAACTCAAATCTGTGTTGTGGCTACATCGTCACTGTACATCTGCCTTTTCAGCTCAGAAACACCTGCATTGACTGTTCATGTCTGTTCATGACTCAGACTCCCAGCCCTGTTGCCTCGTAGTTGAAGTCTATTTAGAAGATCTCACATAAGAGAGATCTTAAATAGCTGGACAATAATTTATGGAGCTGCTCCGTCGCTAACCTCTGGCTAATGCCACTTCTCTCTGCGGCTCAAACCAATCTCATCTCTCCACTGTGAGAAAGTTCACATGTAGCCATGACATTTTGATAGGATGTGCCTGACTCTGAGATAATACTGAGTGGTGTTTGGTTCACCCACACTCAGCCAAATACTGGCACTACAGGCAGATATGGCAGTGCTGTTGGAAAAATACTGTTTTCCCTAATTCCCATTGGAAATCTGACAGCACTCTGTTGTCATCCTTTTCCATGGCCCTGCCTCTGAGCAGAGTAAGAATCAAGCAGGGGAATTATTTCTTTTGGGATATGGTCACATTGGTTCAAATACAAATTACATGGAGCTACCTAGGTGATGGAGTGGCTAACAAGTAGATAGATAGATATACTTTATTGATCCCAGACTGGGAAATTAAAAGTTAGAAGACCCGACCGTTCAGCACCGAGTCCCGTACGGCTGCAGCCAAATTCAGCTTACTACTAAAACACAAAGGAGACAAGGAGTGGAGCACAGAAGCACAAGCTTAATATGGGAGAAAACTGCCCATTTTGCCCCATCCCACTGCCCTGACCGTGTAAACAAGTCAGCCTCGTGGACATCTGCCTCTGCGGTGTATAATGGATCACGTAGCTGAAGGCCCTGCAAGGCTTTAAAGGCTGGGTGCCAGAAAGAGATAATGAACCTCCTTTCAGTCGTGGGAAATGTTGGGAGGCTTAAGTCACAAGTATGTCTAATATGAGTAAATCAGAAACCAACTTACAACAATGTGACGATCCTGCTGGAGGGCTGATATCAGTGGGAAGAAAAAAATAAAACAGCTCAAAAACAGATTCACTTTGATCTGCGATCATTTTGTGTTCATGCTCAAAGCAGTGATGCAGCGTCTGCAGGAGCAGCTGGTTCTGTGTGTTAGTTTCATCTTGTTACACAGACTCAAAGTAATAGAGTCTTTCTTTCTTGTCAAGTGACTGTCCGCACAACATATTTTACTTGTTTTACAACTGCACAAGCTTTAGTGACCCACAACCGTTTGATTGGCCAAACACTGTTCCTAAAGACAGCCTTCCTTTGGTTAATATCTAAGTGTTTGTAGCTAAGATCTAGCCAACAACAGAATACTGTATGTTTATGGCACACTGACCTATCTGAATTTTTATTTTTAGATAAAGTGTTTTTTCTCAAGGCCCAGGTCTGGGGAGCACTGACAACCTGGCAACACCCAATATTTATTTATTTTTTAAATGTAACTTCAATTATATATTTTATCATACAATAAAATGCTTCAGTTTGTCACTAAATATATTTATTCCAGCTGTTTACAGGGTAAGATTATATTTATGCAAATATAATATATTTATGAAATATCTCAGTGATTGATATGACACTTTCTCTGTCCCAAATATGGCATTAATGACGGTGCTTGGCCAGAACTGTGCAGTGTTTGCCAAATGCCTGTCAAAAGCTGTCTAAAAGACCCTAGGAAATACGTATTGAACAGATGACTGATTTTCACGTTTTTTAACACCAAGGGCAGCACACATTTTCCTAAAAGGCCCACTTTGATCATAGATATTTGGCTTTAGCGTGGCTCATATCAATTTCGTCCAGACCAGATAAATGTCAGCACTGTTGCCTAATTGCCAAAAGTGGCTCAAATTGACTTACTCTCGGTGAGCTGCTTTATGAGTTGGAGCTAAGTTTGGGCCAAAACATGTTGTGATGTCAGAGCTGTGCATAAATCCTGTGTGTTGGAGCTCACATCTCCTGAGGGTCAGGTCTAGGGTTAGACTGTTTTCAATCTGTCCCACTGCTCAACAGCTGTTGTCCCTGCCCTTACTCCACGGCAACATCTCGATGCCTTCCTACGACACAGATGTAAGCAGCCATTGACATGCATGACACGCACCGTTGACCATCACATCAAGCCCCGGGGATTTCTAGGGACTTTTCTTTTTTCAATCAAATTTGTTAACTGTTTCCTCCGTCTGGTTGGAAAGTAAAATATATTCATCCTCTCTCATAAATCCAGACACTTTAATGGAACTTTTTCCCCTCCTGTTCAGGCTTCCTTATTAGCTAGCCTGATTATCATAGGCCACCTTAGCCAACTCCCAGCAGCTGTGCGTGTGCCACCAAACTGTGCACATTTCCCAAAGTCATCTCATCCACTAGCAGAGGACAATGTGATTATTTCTCACCTCATTCTGCAGATTATTCCTTTATCACAGTCAGCAGCGATGGCAAGCACAGAGGAATGGTTGCAGAGCCTGAAGAACCTGCATGGAAAAAAAAAGGATTTAATCAGATTTGTGGTGTTGACTGGCAGCACATCTGATAGCCCCTGGCGCAGGCCCACAGATAAGCACTGCGTCCTTATGAAAAACAGACCTGCTACCTCTAAACAAGGCTGTCTGTGTGTTGTCACTGTCCCCGTCTCTGTCCTTGCGTTTACCGACGGTCCACGTGTACGCTGTTGCTGTTGTCCTGTTATGCTAATTTTTCCGGGTACTTATATGTATACCTCACTTATCAGTAACTGTATTTTTCCTGAATTAGAGAACAAATTTCCCTGACCTAAAATACAGAATTAAATACGCTGATAAAACATCATTTTAAACATCTGCCTACCAGCACAGCCTCAGAACATATTTAGTATAACTTATTGCATTTCAGCTCTTTTAGAGGCACACAGTGAGTGGTGTCCTATATGAAAGGGCTCTTTTACAACTCTCTAATAGCAGCATTTATTTGCCATGCTTCGTGTTTTTTCGTTTATTTTTACATCTTAAAAAATTGATAAAAATCTCAGCCATGGCGCCAGGAAATTTGTGTTGCTATGAATACCAGTGTAAATGTTTACTTTGTCACTAAGGTACAAGGTTATCACTGGGCTCTGTGACACTCACTGATGAGGCCTTGTGGGAATCAGTGGGACTCTGTGGGAACAAATTGTGGATGGGATTTTTCTCTGTGGTCAGTACAAACACTGGAGATCTTGATTATTCAATGTAAAATCCCATGTTTGTTTTTGTTTCGTGCATCCAGGTGAACATGACATCGGATCTGGAGGGAAGTGACATGCTGGCGGAAAAAGCCGACAGACGAGAGTTCATCGATTTGTTGACAAAGATGCTGACCATTGACGCAGACAAGAGGATCACCCCTATTGAAACACTCAACCACCCTTTTGTCACCATGTCCCATCTCCTCGACTTCCCTCACAGCACGCAGTACGAGCTCCTGTTGTTGAGTTTACATAATCGTCACTTTGATCAGTGGATTTCCACTCCTACTGTTGTAACAATATCTTTCTCTCCACACAGTGTCAAGTCATGCTTCCAAAACATGGAGATCTGCAAACGTCGTGTCAACATGTATGACACTGTCAACCAGAGCAAGACGCCCTTCATCACCCACGTGGCCCCCAGCACGTCCACCAACCTCACCATGACCTTCAACAATCAGCTAAACACTGTGCACAGCCAGGTAAAAAAAATCCTCCAAATACACGTACTTTCAACTGTAATAATATCAAAGCACTATGATACATGACATAATAATAATAATAATAACAATAATAATAATAATAATGTATACATTTTTCATCAATTTTCCTCAATTATTATCAATTATTCCTAAATATGACAAAAAACTTTTTAATACTCTTCTTCTATTCATGCAGTTCATCAAATAAAAATAAGGTAGTGCAGGCATACTGATGAACTACATATTTAGTAATGGGCAGGGGGTTGTATTCATATGCTGTCAAACAAGGTACAAGTTTGTTACTCAAGTAACAATCTATTTTTAAAAAAACGACAAATCCATATTCCGTACCGTACCCATTTTTTTTTTTTTTTTTGTAGTAAAATATGCAAACATTAAACAGAATTAAATCTGTAGTCCTACTACGGGTTGAGAATCCTGGAATAAGATGGTGTCAGCCCTCATGAGTCCCAGTTCAGGTCGTTTGCACAAACACTGGCCCCACGCAGTAATGCTGGTTGTGTAATGATGCATTTGCTAACACAGCCGGCCTGTTGCTGTCTTAATCAAAAACAACCAAATGTCACTGGCTTATTAGCCCTAAAGTAGTTACTTGGCCCTTTGTTCTTATTCCCATCCATTTCCTCCATCTGTCTGCAAGTTTCCATGCTAACCAGTCAGCCTCGGTGCATGTAGTTTGTATCTGTCTGCCTGCATTTCTCTCTGTGCCCCCGGTCCTGTGGGATTGTCCCAAAGTGCTGATTACACACATGACAAGAGCCTACTTCCTGCTTGCCTTGCATTTTGGGTCTTTCAGGCCTTAAGAATCCCTTTACCAGGCTTCCTCTATTTCCCTTCCCCTTCCTCCTGCCCTCTTCAGGCTTTTTTCTTTCCTCCCATTTCTCTGGGTCGAGCCTGTGGCTCTTTACCAGTTCATTCCTGTACAGTTTGTGAATCCAAACTGCTGACTTCTGGCTGCTGCTGAAATCTCTCTGAGTCAGGTTGCAAGGTTCTGCAGATTGCAGTTGGTTACAACTCCTGCTGTCTCACCTATTTTTAACAGTTTTTTTTTTCATCCTTATCTCTAGCTGTATCAACTCAGCGCTTTTAGTAGCATGCAACAAAATTCCCATCTTGCAGTGATTCTTCTGGATTAACATTCCCTCGGCTTGTCTTTGCCGTGTCTGACTCTCAGCCGTGTATACAGGCTGTAGTTAGTGATTTATTCATCTTGATCCCCTCCCCGCAAGAACTGAATGCCTCCTCGCCTTGTGTTTGGCTGCTACTGTTCTTGTTTATGATGAATGCCACAGTGGCATATTGATTATACTTCCTCCCCTAGTGTTCATTGAACACACTAAAGAGAGCAAATGAAAAATGAAAGCGCTGTCTCTGTGTTTCCCTCCACCCTACGACACTTAATGAAAGGGCTAAAATTAGACGACGTCTCTTGGAGCAAATAGATCTTATGAGCTGAGCAAACAGTGTCTCTTAGAAGCATTTGTTTGTCTACTGAATATTCCAAGTCTGTCTGACTATTCCACCTATTGTATTAATGGTCAGCGAATTCCACGGACGCCTGTGTGTCCATTATTACAACAAAAATGTTTGCTATGAAATTCCATCCTCATCATGTGCATTGATTGGGAGAAGAGATAGTGAAGCTCCGATGTCAAATGTAGCTGCAGCTCATTATATTCACCCATTTCCATGTTGTAACTCCTGAATGAAATCATCCCATTATCTGCCCATGCCTTAAAAACTCCCCCTAATGGTGACATTAAGGGAAATGTTTGTCTCTGAGGGTTAATGGTTTCTAAATAGTTCACTGAGATGTAAAAGGAAATTCATTAAATTACACAGTAAGGCTGTCACTGTCAACAGTGTGCATTTTCTGTTGAGTGGTGCATTATTCATATCTGAACACTGGGCTACAGAACTATAAATTATATTAAATGATCAAAGTCTCAGTTTGAATTTGCTCTACTGGCATTTTACTCATTAAAGATTGATTGTTCTGAGAACTGTAGTATTGATTGCATCTCTCCTCGCAGTCTTTTTCTCCGTCTACTTAATCAAATCTACAATGTGCATATTTTAAGACGGATTCAAATTGTCTGATTTCCTCGTTCCCCTCGTCCAAGCTCATCAATAATGGATGCACGCCCATCCATCCTGTGGTTGGTTTGCACCTTCAAATGCGGTTATCCCTCTGTTTGTACCCCCGCCTGCTGTCCTCTCCCCCGCACGCACTAAAAGCACTCGCAATTTCCCCGTCATTGCCATCAGTAGCTCCACTCACGATTTTTATTTTGGTCCCATCATTCCTTTAGGCCACCAACTTGGCTCCCTCCTCCACCAACAATGCCACCCTTTCCTTTGCAAGTCCTGATGTCTCCATACTAAACTACCAATCTGCACTCTACCAGCCCTCAGCTGCCTCCATGGCAGCCGTGGCCCAGAGGAGCATGCCCCTGCAGCCAGGGGCTCCTCAGCTCTGCGCTGCTCGGCCAGACCCCTTCCAGCAAGCACTCATCGTCTGCCCACCGGCCTTCCAAGGTGAGTGCTTCTAATTTGTCTTGATGCATAAATAAATAAATAAAGTTTATGTTTGCAGCTTGTACTGTAACAGGCTACATGTGTGGGAAACACTGGTGGGCAATGAGACCCAATGAGATTTGTGTCAAACAAAGTGTTAATCTGAATTAAAATCGTGTCATTTATTTATCTTCTTATTTTATACATAGACAAGGTATAGTATTACCATTGGGGGGGACAGAGTAATTGCAGGGAGAGGATCAAAAAGTCAAATGAATTAAATTTCAAATTGTGCATGTTAAATTGTGCTTTTTTTTTTACTTTGTGCCACAGAGGGGGATAAGTACTGATTTGTTATTTTTCAGTTTTTTTCAGTGAGAATATCAATGTTTAGGAATTACAGAGTTATAAATAGAGTTAAGAGGAGTTTTGGAGCAGTATCTGTGAATTTGTTGATAAATTGGAGCCTCAAAAAACAGTCCTAACTGTAAAAGGGGGGCGCTGCAGCAAAGGTTTGGCAACCACTGGTATAGAGCGTAGGGGGGGTCAAATATAAACATACCTCATTAGCTAATATAAATGCCAAACTCTTTCAGTCATATGATATACATCCATAAAGCTAATTCAGATTTAATGAATTCATATTATTTTTTTTATTTTATATCTATATTTTTACATCTGTATTTTTTAGGGCTCTCCAACAGTATGTCTGTGGTTCCTTTTGGGGTCATACACTTTAATTACTTTAATATTTTTATTCCCTGACCAAATTGGCTATTCAAGCCTGTCAGACATTGTCAGTCATTCACTCAGTAGATCAAAGATATCTTGAGGCAGTAAATTATTTGAAAGGAAATAAAATATCACTGTTTCATGCTTACTCACACCAGCGCTCTCTCTCTCCTCTTTGTTTGTGTTGGGAAGACAGCAATCCTCTGTGGGTTTATCTTATTTATTTGTTCTTTCAGCGGAATGAGTGATTTTGTTATTTTTAACTTTAGCAACTCTGCTGCATTTTAACGGAGCAGTCGGATGCTGACACTTTTGTAGTTAGAACACATTCACTCAGTCATTTTTTTTAAATGGAGGAGATGAGTTTTCATAAGAGTTGTAAGCGCAGTTAAAAGTACAATTTCTTCTTTTTCAATCGCCTCATTTGACGGCATGAAATAATAAAGAAAAGATTCTTGGTGTTTTCACTGATAATTCTGAAGTGCCATTGATGCAGAGGTTCACACTGGAATTTCAGAGTGATACAGAATGTTCTTGTTAAAGTAAGATTCTTTTCTGAGGAACCTTACAAATTTGGCTGCAGGACACTGTCAGATTTCATTCTAGAAACGACTTTGTGCCTTTAAAGCAGGAACTACTTAAAAGTCTACTTGCAGAACTAAATCATAGAGAAGTGTCTTTTAAAGAAACTATTTTGACCAAATGCTTCACTTACAGGTATCACTTTTTAACTCTTAACAAGAAAAGATTAAGGGTTTTGAACTGTTTTTCTTTCAGATTAGTCACAGTTTGTGGAAAATACCAGGATAAAGTTTATAGATATTTTATGGATTAGAAAATGCACCAAGTTCTCTGAAAACAGGGTTTTTGTGAAGAGACATGATGTTGATCAGGAGGGACAGTTGCTGAGTGCTCGGCTGTACATACTGACTCCCTGGGTGAATGTTGTGTACTTTATTTGTGCTCAGGCCTGCAGGCGTCCCCTTCCAAGCACACCAGCTACTCTGTGCGGATGGAGAATGCTGTTCCCATAGTGACGCAGGCCCCCGGTGCCCAACCTCTGCAAATTCAGCCCAGTTTGCTCACACAGGTAGGAAGGTTTTGTGTTTACCAGAGAACAATTGTGGGTCTTGGCTGTAACCCTGCTTGTGCAAGTTAGAACAGCTTACATCCAAACAAAGGCCTCTGCATCCTTCGTCTTAAAGCCTCCACTAAGAATAGATTCTGTCGATGGAGGCTGGAAAATTACTCAGCGTTTGTGACCCTGCTCCGACTGGCAGCTGTTTTTTTCCTGAGCTCTCTTCTGTGCCTCGCTGCCCTTCTCTCTGTCTCTCCTCGCACTTCCTCTCCCTCCACTCTCCCTGATGCCCTGCTCTCCTTGAGGCTGAGGCTGCCATGGTCTGATACACACAAAAGCAGCCGCCTTTCACAAGGATAAGGCCTTCACTGGACCCTGCACAGTGGAGCTGAAGCTTTATTTGCTAGCATTCAGTTGTTGGAAGTTACAGAAACTGACTGCACGTACCTCCCTCTGCACACGTACGCACCAACTCACACACACTCAGACTACATAGACTGCATCCATTGATATGTTTTTTTTCTACGGAAATTTCCATAAAGGCTTTAAATATCCATGAGAATCCAGGGAGTTTGAAGTGGTCCCTTACCCCCTGTTAATCATGCAGTAGGCAGGCAGGAAGCAGGCTTAATGTGCACGTGTGTGCACGCGTGTGCATGTGAGGCTGTATTTCTGTGGTGGGTTAATCTGTCAGATACCAAATGGTGATTAGCTCCAGGGCTGGTTCCAAGTCAGGCGTTCCAAATTACAGGCTTCAGAGAATCCTGGAAGGTCAGGGGAAGCCTGGATGAACCAGTTCAAATCTGAACATTAACAGATTTACTGATACGACAGAGCTGTCAAAGGAAGAGATTGAACACATCTGTGCTACATTATGAAAAACACAAATCACAATCATTCACGAGTCAATTTCTGCTTGTGTAACGCTACACTGCTCTGCAGGTGTTCACTGCAAACACTGTCTGCACAAAATGTTAAAGACAGACAACAGTTAAACCAAGTGGATGGTTTTTATAATGCAGTAAACACACACCTAGCTATTAGGTGTGTGTTTACTCTGTTCGTGTGGTGGGTCTCAGGCATTGTTTGCCTCTTTGCTGCATTGTTCCCACCTGCGTTTCTGCACTGCTGCTGTTTAAAGTTACCCTCGCTGCACCTTTCACCTATTTTGCACCCATGCCAGTGAGCCCACCTTAGCTCCTGAGGTGTGCACATTAAGCACAGAGACTGATGATCCAATCAGAGAGGAACAGGAACAAGCAAGACTTTTATCTGGTGCAGGATTGCAGAAAATGTGGAAACAATTGGGGAGTGAGAGCTGGGGGCTTTCAAAGCCTCAAGGTGACAAAGGCTTTTCACCCAGGGAGTGTAGGTCGAAGTGGGAGGCACTGATAGCGGTGGTGGACTCTGAAGAAGTAGAAAAAGAAAATGCCTGTCTAACTGTGATACCATTTCAGGAGACAGGTCGGTTACACAACCCAGATGCCCAGTGAGAGAGGCATGTTGAGTGGCAGGAATGGAGATAAATTAAACCAAAAGAGGAGCAGGAGATGGATGTATGTATTAGTGCCTTATAATAGCATGATGGTAAAAGGGCCTTGGTCGTGTTCTTAGATGTAAAGACCCTCTCTAGAAGCCAGAATGTTCCATTAGAGAATGTCAGTCATCAGCGTGTAGATGAGGTTTCTTTGCTGGCCTGCAGCTGCTTCCATCTACAGCACGGTTCCTTTTGACTAGACTAAGATTAATACAACTTAATATCAACAGACAGAACAAAACCTTTGTCACGCAGGTAAATCTAGTCCCCATGACAAGTTGATGAAAGATGAAATAAAAGCAGTATACTAAAGAGTATAATAAAAAATGTTCTTTTCTTCTGCTCTGTCCTGTCCCTCATCGTCTCCTCTGTTTGAACATGTGCGCTGCAGCACATTCTTGATGCTGCTGCAAATAGATGTGAAACTGGTTTTAAAGAAACAATTCATTAGCCCTGACATTAAAGTGCCAATCAATAGCACCGCATTAAACTATCTAGGTTGCACACACCAACATGCTCGGGCACGGATGGATGCACACACATTGATCTTGGAACAGCTCAGTGCCACTTATTATGTCTTACAAAGTAGCACTGTATGTATCACTATACAATATGGTTTGTAGTAGTTATACCATATAATTTGTCTACATGTATATTCTGCAGTACACGCCCTTGTACAAATCCTCACTCCACTTGAATCTGTGAAAAAGAAGTGCATAATTTGCTCTGTTATTTTACACATACAGACACCAAGACAAAGAACACAATTGAACCCAGTGATGGGTGGTCTCAGGACCACCTTAACTGTGAGGGATTCAAACCAGCATCCCACAGATAACTGAAACCAATTTGCATGCTCACCAGCTAGTTTGAAACCTAAACAACTATATTCTTTTTCTTTACATCAATATATAAATATATCATTATAAAAATATCTGAGCCGAGGTCTTAACTGTGTGCTGCGATCAAGTGGCTGCACAAGTGGCATTCAAAATAGTGTCACAAGCTAAAAAAAAGGATGGAAACCACTGAGTTAAACCTACCATTGTTTTATGAATTAAGAGCATTAAAAAAGTTCTCGTAAACCAGTGATGTTTGGTAAAATCCATAAGGAGTAAAAAGAAAATACATTGTGATTCACAGTTTTATTTGTCTTCTGTTTTGACCTTTTTGTCTCTTGTCCTCTATTGTTTTCATAACCTGTGTTGTTCTACCTCAGCAGGCCTGGCCCAGTGGCACCCAGCAGATTCTGTTGCCTCCAGCCTGGCAGCAGCTCACCCACACCTCAGTCCAGCATGCCACTGTCATCCCCGACTCTATGAGCAGCACACAGCCTCTCGCTAACTGGAGGTGAGCAACATTTGTCTTGTACTTTTTTTTAACCAGACAAGGTAAATAACTTAGAAGAAAGTACACACAGTGTGTGTGCATCACGCAGTATGTGCGTATTGCTGTGTATTACTGTTTGCATTGTTGTGCCTTAAAGGTGTGCATCTAAACTACAGTGCTTCAATTATTTCAATTACAAGTAGATAGTGTTGCATTTTAGTTCAAAATACTATCATGTTATTTTTTTAATCTGCACATAAGGACGTAAGTTGTTCAACCACGTGCTCCGGAATCAGAGCTTCTTGTGAAACCAGGTAGCACAGTAACAGAGGTAATTGTGTAAGTAGCCCTCAGTGTACCAAATAAATAGATTTCAAAGGTCAGCCCTGGCCTCATGACTTTTATAGGTCAAAATGTGCTTCGGGAAAGTGGTATAGAAAGGCAACGATCGACCAAGGAGTCTGCGTCTCCTTGACAGCTTGTCCTTTATCTCAGTGCCATGTAAACACTGCTGCTCATACAAATATAGATACACCGCAGGGATTTACAGTATGAGTATGAATATAAATAAACAAGTCCGGTATAGATTGTGGTTATTATTATGATCATAGAGAATCGGGGAGCAGGAGGTGAGGGTACAGATACTGTATGATGATCATGTTTGTGCTCGGATCACATCAAAACTGCTCATCAGTGATCAGACACCACCCTTCTCTCTCCCGCTGGTCAGTGGCAGCTCCCCTGTCCTTTGAGAGATGATGGGAAAGTGTCGCACTTCCTCTGCAGAGCTATCGCTCCACAGCTGCTGGTGTCAGCTCCTCTGCCCTCCCTCTCTGCTCTCTCACTCTCACCCTTTTGTCTTAAGTTAGATGCTGCCACCGACTGGTATCTGTCAGAAATACTGTTCTGTCCCCTCGTCCTACTACACGCAGCACCAATGATGGATTTAAGGCTGTGTCTGATAGTGTCTGTTTGTAATGACTGGATTCACTGTTTTCTAACTCACTGCTTTCTGATTTTTATGGGATGTTTTGTCACAGGAATTCCCATCCCCATGGAAGTCATTACAATCCCATCATGCAGCAGCCAACGTTGTTGGCTGGTCATGTTACACTCCCATCCAACCCGACACTTAACGTGGGAGTGGCACATGTTATGAGGCAGCACTCAACCAATAACAACTCTTCTTCCAAAAAGAACAAACAGCACCAGATGTCTACCAGGTACCAATCCACAGCCAGATGGTTTTCTACTTCCACCTGAACATCATTTCACAAACATTCTGATGCTGATGTCTGTGATTATTCAGGACCTGTTTTCATCAGTCACTCTGTCTTTGACTTCCCATCAGGAACACATCAGCATATGAGGTGTCCTCCTCCTCCCAGGTGGTTCTGTCCCCTCAGCGCTCGAAGAGGGTCAAAGAGAACACACCCCCACGTTGCGCTGTTGCACCAAATAGCTCAGCCTCCAACTGTCTGCCCTCACAGCCTTGTGGTGGCAGAGGCTGGGGCTCCAACGAGGCAGAGCAGGCATCCAGCACCACCCGTGACCACCAGCACCAGCACCACGTTCCTAGACAGACCATCATCATCCCTGACACACCCAGCCCTGCAGTCAGCATCATCACCATCAGCAGCGACACCGATGAAGAAGATGACCATAAACAGAAGAACAGGTGGGGTTTTTTTAGGTAACGACTGTGGAAACATTTTAATAAAACTTTCACTTTGGTTTAGTGAGTTTATTTACAAGTACACGATGTTGCATAAAGGCAACATGTAGTGGTCAAAATGTAATTTGTCATTGAATACCTCTAAACCAAAACATTAGAGAGTCAAAATCAATCACTCAATGGGCTTAAAGTTAAAAGCATGTAAAGCTCTGGTGGGCCACATTAAATGAGGTGGTGCGCTAGATTGGGTCCACAGGCCTTGGGTTTGACATATGTGTCATATGTGTCTACAATGAGCAACTTTACAGTCACAGTTACAAGTTATGAAATGTTTTTTTTCAAATGTCATTTTTACGTCTATAAATAGTGACCACAGGTCATTCAATATTTTCTAAAGACTAATTTTGAAGCAGGTCAAAAAACATAAATGATGTGCAAACATTTTAGTACAATAAAGGATTTTGACTTTCTGTGAAAAACATTCTTCCCTTTATTCTTTTTTGTTTCTTCAGCTCATCCTCTAAGCAGAGGAAGAATGTGATCAGTTGTGTAACGGTCCATGATTCACCAGAGTCTGACTGCTCCAGCAACAACAGCCCATACGCGATGGAGTCCAGGTCTAATAACAACAACAGCTACGACACAAAGACCACAGTTCTTGACAACTACAACAATGGGAACCCCCGCACCATCATCATTCCGCCTCTGAAAACCCAGAACACTGAGGTCCCCATCGAGTGTGAGCGCCTGATGTCAGGTGACACACTGTTTTCTTAACCCAAATCCTCACTACGGGCTATAGATCCAACATTACGTTTTTTATGATGACTGTCTCTCTACCCTGCAGATGGAATGAACCATCACAATTCAGCTTACAAGTTCAAATCCAGTGGAATGGTGTCTGGCAATAATCACATACCAGGTGGCATCACTGGAGGTGGGTCCTACAGACAGCAGCGCTCAGGGCCACACCCCCTCCAGCAGCAACCTCTCAATCTCAGCCAGGTAAGAAGCAAACAAACAAAATATCATCAACATATATGAACTTAGTTAAGAACTGGTAATGAAGAAACTTTGCAGTTTTTAACAATTGGGTCCTGATAAGATAACCTGCTTCTTCTCAGTGTTTGCAAATTTAGCTTAGCTGTTGCTAAGCAAAAGTAAAAGAAATGATGCTAATACTGTATATAGCCTTTTGACGTCCACAAGATGACATCACAAGTGCCACGGACTATTACCAAGTGAATTTTTAAACACCATTAAGCTGATTTCTATACCAGGTCATACATCAGACTTGTTATAATCAAAACCTGCTCAGTCACAAGCCGACGTTGACGTGACATTATGATTGGGAAAACACATAAAACAAGTAGCTCATGTCCTGCTTCTCATACAGCTGCCAGTGAACTACTGCAGGTAGCAATCACATTGTTAATATCTGTCTTCCAAGCTCTGAAATATTAGCTGCACTTCCTTTACCTCTACTGTGACCACATCACACTATGGAATCACCTGAGAGAAGTGATGGTAATTGGTTGTAAGTACAAACTCTTTACACAGAGTCTTTGAGGTGATAAAATCAAAGGGTATTGCTGGTTCACATGGAAATGTTGCATGGATTTTGTTATATTATTTCGGGCATCTTAATAGGCACAAAGCGCACAATAGACTCCACAGTTCACATGTTTTTGTAATTTACTTCAACATGGAGGACAGGTTGTCTCTGGTAGACCAAGCGTCATCTTTCATGGTCATGCTTTTCTGTGATGTAACAAAACCTCTAACCTCATTCACCTCTAAATCTCTCCCTCCTTCAGGCCCAGCAGCACATGGTAGCCGAGCGAAACGGAGGCCATCGACGTCAGCAGGCTTACATCACCCCCACAATCGCTCCTCAGCCCCCATACTCTTTTCATCACAACAGCCCCTCTCACACGGGCAACGTCCACCCACACTTAGCTGCCCCACATATGCCCAGCCAACCCCACCTCTATGCCTACACAGCCCCTGCCACCCTGGGCTCGTCAGGCACAGTGGCCCACCTTGTGGCGTCACAAGGTACAGCACGTCATGCAGTCCAGCATGGAAGTTATCCACCGGGCTTAGTCCAACAGGTCCCGGTCAGCATGGGCCACCGAGTTCTGCCCTCACCTACACTGCACCACAGTCAGTACCAGGCCCAGTTTGCCCACCAGGCCTACATCAGCGCCTCACCCGCCTCCACTGTCTACACTGGATACCCGCTGAGCCCCACCAAGGTCAACCAGTACCCTTACCTCTAGAGAAGACACTGACACTGGAGGGCCTGACCCAGCACTGCTGCTTTCCCTGAAACCCATCTGCCCTGACACCTGCCCACGTCCCAAACACCCCGCCCTCAACCTCAGACAGATGAGAAACACAGAGGAAGATACAACCCTCGTGAAGTGTCACATTTAACTTGAAGAAATAATAAAGTAGAAAGGAAGAAAAAAAGATTCAGAGCCTCTCTGGAAAAGAAGGATAAGGTTCAGACTTTTGAGGGGTTAAAGAGTTTTTTTTTTGCCTGTTCTAATTTCCTTTTCCTGATTGGGCCAGTTTTTGTTTGTTTTTTGTTTTGTTTTTTTGCTTTTCTTTGTTTTATTTTATTCTTCACGTTATTTTAAGAGGAAAAAGGTCTCAGTTGAATTTCAGAGGGGATTAAAAGGCCTTTTGGGACAGAGATTTCCTGGTTTGCTTTCTCTTATTCCCCCCTTTCTTAAAGTTTTGGGAAGTGACTGCTGAACAGGGGTTACTGACTTGTAGCGTGGGATCCCAAAAGATTTGGGAGAAGGTGAAATACGGAAACCTGCTGCTCTTCAAAGAAAAAAAAATATTGATGGCCTTGAACTGTCTTAATATTTCCAAATCATTCATGGTGTTGGGAGAAAAGAGAGGCTACTCCCCGACTCCAGCTGAGAAGGCTTCTGGAAATATAACCGAACAGAAGACAAACCAACTTTTTAGTGTATTTATAGATATGTTTCCATTTTGTTTCAGCTTCATGATGACTCTTCTGTTTTAGCTAGCTGTCTTAGCTGGGCCCCGTTCTTAGAATGTAGCAGTCGGCACCTGTTTGTGTTAACCTGATTTGGTTTTTCAACACCAGTAGATCACTTTGTTTCTTCTTTTGATTTCAATGTAATTGAACAAAGTGGTTAATAATAACATAAGCATGTACAACGTGATTGTCTGCGTGCGCTACTGTCAGCCATGCGTGTGTAGTCCACTCCTGGAAAAAAAAATCCTCCTCCGCCTTTAGGTTTTCACCATTTTTCCCTCGTAGTGCCTTACAGTTAAAACCACACAGTTTACTCCGCTCAGATACAGAAGGCCACAAGAGACTATACCTGTACATAGAGAACAATGTGTTACGTTATGTGACATCACAGTCGGGACAGTTGTGGTACTTCCAGGTGTAGGCTTGGCAATCGCCTTTGTCTTCAGACTACTTACTATAAGGGAAGGAAACGCCATCCTGTTGGTTTAACTAGCGTTGAGTGCACGTAACGACAGACCAGGAATATTGACCAGTAGGTTATAGTAGTCATACAGTAAGTTAACTTTGTAACGATAAATATATAGAGTTTGTTTAGCTGTGGCTATAATCCTCTAACAACCCAATTGTGTTTTTGGTTTGATCTACAGTAACAATTCTTTGTTGATTTAAACTCAGAGAAAGTCATGCATTCATGTTTGATGACAGAGCAGAGATGATAGCTCGCTTTTCGCATAAGGGAATGGGTTAGAGGCCATTGTTTGTAACACAGCAGAGGGTGGTTTTTAAGAAAAGGTTTAAAGCCGGACTGGAAGAAGGGCCCGACAGGAAGTGGCTGTTGTCATGACGGTGATCGTCTGGCTGCAGTGAAGAGACAGAGTGTCACGGTTTTGTAGGAAAGAGTGACACAGATACTGTGTAGGCATGAGTGAGGGGGCTGGTTGGAAGCACAGGGTCAGTTTAAGAAGGAACTGTGGACAACAGGGGGAGAGGGGGACCCTCTGTCTGAAATGGGACTGAGCAGGTTGATAGTAACACTGAGCCCGGCAGGTGGTAGGAGCAACAGGGGCTTTCTTATTTGAATATTAGAATATGTTTGTTTTTTGTCTTTTCTGCTTGTTTGTTTCTCCAACAAAGATAATTGAAAGTTATTTGTCCTGTTAGAGCTGTAAGCAGCAGTGCAGTGTCGTAGGATCAGATCAGAAGGGAAAAAAAGCCAAAGCATACACCTGGAAGGGCACCTTGTGGACTACTTGTGGCAACTGTACATTTGTCTTGTCGTTGCACCGTGAAAGGCGATATTGCCAGGCTGGTCAGATGGAACTCCCACAGTGAGAAAACCAACAGGGCTGTCACTCTGTGCTCGATTTGGTGCATTTTTGATAGTCTTGAACTCGGGCACATACATACGAAGTGGTAGTTTAGGCCCCTCCCCCTGCCCCTCCTGTCCTTCATGGTATGCCATAGTACTTGCATTTGTAGAGATTTTAGTTTGTTTTTAACTTAAAGATCTTGAACCCTTGTTTTTTGACATGGTTGTAGTACATGTTGTGTTTATTTTTTAGAGATTGTTGCAATAATTCTTGTGGCTGTTTTAACAGAGTGTGTGTTTTTTAATAAATGTTAGGCTCATTTCTATTTTATAACTAGGGGGTTGGTGTACAGTAATATTTAGTGTTCTGTGGAGGCGGCAGCACCTGTGTAAATGTTGCAACACTGCTGAGGTGTTGACCTATTGATAGTCCAGTGAGGCTGTCATGGTTTGAGGCAGCGTACCTTAGAATGGTCTTTCATCCTGGTACTTGTGTGCCCCCCCTAAACAAAATTAATTATTCCCATTTTCATCAGCTCCAGCAGTGCTGAAGCCCTGAAGAGGGCAGTCGAAGATGTGATGACATCACAGGTTGCTGGTTATGTCCTTCTTTTTCCACTTTTTCTTTATCCTTTCCTCTGCTCAGTTGGGGCCTAAGAACAGGTGCATATGGAGGACGATTTTCCGAGTAAATCATGTTTGATTCTCTGTTTCAAGACAGACTACTGAAACATTCCACTGTTTGAAGGAATTTGACATTACCCATGCTGTTTTGTCTCCATCACTGTTGGCGTTGTCGCGCTCTGAATTCTTTCGCTCCTCCCACCAAAGAATGAAACAGATTGGCCCTGTACAGCACGACACAGCACATCACCGCACAGCACGGTACAAGCAATTCTCCACACCCTCGTGAGGCAATATAGGCAATAACTGGTGTTCTACTTCTGAGCAAAATATGCTTTTGTGCACAAGCTGCAGGAGTGTACAAGTACACAGGGAGGATTTCATTTTTAGATAATGCATTCGGCTAATCGTGAAAGTAGACATTTGTCCATGAAAGATGCTGCAGTCCATTTAATCACTCCTCACATTTAGCCTCTGTCACAGACTGATCAGTAATTACCTAGACTCGTCAATTCTTTTAAGCCAGTTTTTGTGTTTGTTTGGTTTTTTCGTTCTTTATTGGTGGTGTATGTGGAAATATATTTTGTAAATTAGAAAAAAAGAATAGACTTTTAAATTATATGTTAAAGCTGGTAGAATGAGATTATAATAATTGATAATTGTACCTTCAAAACTATGGTCGGCTGAGCAAATTGAATGTAATACGTGACGTCTACAACTAAAAGTTTCCGATCTTGCTCGGCCGCTGACCGTTCAATGGATTTCCTACACTGTTTGTGACCACACATGATGCAATGTTTAAATATATAATTTCCTGCGAAAGGTTGAAATATGAGATTATGTAAAACTACCACTGTCTAAATGAGCTGGGATTATAGGATTAACAGTTTTTTTTCAATCTCGTTTGTAACCTTTCAATTCGCGCAACACCGTGGAAGATGAAATTGATATGTATGATGTCTTTGTATATTACACTGTTAAACATAACCAGTGTTCTCATTGGTAAAATTTGCATCAATGTAGACTTATTACAGTATGTACCAAAATATTCTTAAATGGAGTGTAAAGTTGTTTGTGTTGAGGCGAGCATAGCCTTGAAAGACACTGTCAGCCTCCTAAAAAGAAATACCTCCAAAGCTTTAAAATTTGAATCAGAGTGAAAAAGATTTTGTTTTCATGTATCGATGGATTCAATTTTGACTTTTATCACCATCATAGTTACAATTTTATTGTTAATGTTCTCTGGAACTTGGAAACACAAGAATCATGAAAAACTTTCAGTAATTAGGAGACCTTTCAACACAAATCAGTATACGCTTTATACACTAAAAAACACAAGCAGCTTCTTCCCAAAGCATAGAAGAAGGTTTTAAGCATAGAAGAAGGTTTGATTAATCATGAATGAAGATATCAACAGGAAATTACTGACATATAGATGTTCTTAAAACCCGATTTGATGACAGTATGTGTTTGTTTGGTTTTTTTTTTTTTTTTTTTTTTGTTCGTTTGTTTGTTTGTTTTTTAAATATGTTTTCGCTGGCTATTTCTTGGAGGAATTCAGGGTGTGGTGGTCAAGGTTTGATGCCGTCACTGATACTGGATGTTAGGTATGTGTGCGGTCAATGAATTTAAAAACCAAACATGACCTTTTTTAATCACTTCTTTCTTATACACTTAGATATAATTTAGAGATTTAATTTCACCGAAATAATATAATATGCAGTATTTCACTGCACATGAAACAAAGAAATATTTTGCATGATCTCACAGAAATGGCTGGCCAAAGTGTTTCTGGGGCAGGTGTGGTGAGATGAGTGGGAGACCAAAGCTCTGTTCACATAGGGATTCACATGTTTACACTGCAAAAAAATAAATAAATAAATCCATCCCAGCTTGGATTTTATGTGACTGTCGAAGCTCCTTTTAGTTATAAATCAAATGTCTTATCATATATGTCTTTATCGTATAAAAGTAGCTGAATGCTAATAGAGCAATTTGTACAACAACTTTTCTTTTTTACAAGTGACAATACTGGACAACTTAGATTTTTCTAAACCTAAGAGTGCATCAAACCCTGACCTCCTTTTGAGTTAAATGCTGTATGGTTTCTCAATGTTCATTCTTTGTCGATAAAGCTAATGTGTGCTGCAGTATTCCCTAAATATAATTATCTGTTTAATTGTCTTTTCTTATTTACTTATGTTTATTGGGGTGTGTCTGATTATTTTAATCTGTTGATGTAGCGTTCCTTGTAAACCCTGTTTCTTATCCTAATATTATTAAGTATGTTACGAGAATGGATATTTTACTGGCTTTATAGAATGTCTAAACAAATATAGTAACAACAACAAGAGGAAGGATTAATTAAACCTCCCAACAAGTTGAGTACTTGCTACCAAGCGCTTGTGTTGCCATTATGATGTTGTGTGCTTCTCTTAATCATTTTCGTTGTAGAAAAATGGAGTGGATTTATATTAGGCTACAAAAAAAGACTAATGATAGGATTGTAAATTTTACTGGAGGATTTTAACAGACAAACAGCTTCGTCAAATAGAAGAATATAGCTATTTTAATTGTCCTCTTTACTAACTGTAGGATGAGAAGGGGCTCGCTTTGTGGTGAACTATGTTATAGCTTGTTATTCACTGTTACTTTTGATCATTTTTTGGGTCTCCGAGGTGAATCGAGTTATTAATGAAAATTTGTATGCTCACATATGCATATTGTATATGTGTAGAGATGTAATCACACTTTGTCTTGGATTTACATTAAACTGTTAAGTCACTGCATCAGTGTCATGTTGGTGTTAATTTCAGATAAATAGATAGACAGATGGATGGATGGATGGATGGATGGATGGACAGATGGATAGAATTTTATTAATCCCTTAGGAAGTCCCTTTTGGAAAACGTTTGTGTGTGTGCTTGTCCAATTAATCAATTCATTAGATATACAACAAATGTGTGTTTTACATTAGTGAACCACTTTCATTTTACAATAGTAGATTTAGAGAAAGATTATCCATTTTAATATTTCTATGTTGTAAGCATTTTTAGTTGATAATACTAAACTGATAGGTAAGCTTTACTGACACCGAATTGAGTAATTGTCATTGTTTACTTTAGAGAAAACAGGCAAGTATTCAGGATAGTGAATCATTTACTTCCATCTTATCTTTTCACTCACTTTGTAACGCACCCAACTTTCAGTGGTTCTTCATTACATTCAGAATTTCTCTCTCCTTTCCTCCTGCCAAGAGTTTGCTTTACCAACATCCATTGTCAAACATGTCCATCATATCTCTCCAATGTATGTCCACACCATATTAACTTTGGCTCTAAGTTCATCTCTGCACAACCCCCTTTGAATGACTCGTTTTTACTTGTTGTTATTATAATGTTCTACCACTTGATGGCAGTATGCACTAAAACGTTATCTCACATGACATCAATAGGCAATGACGTGTTCTGCGAAGATGACCATTTCCATCATTATAGTTTAACTAGTATAACGTGTCACATCCCACCTCTTCCCTCTGCAAACCGCGTTTCTGTAAGTTGTTGATTGAAACATTTGAGACTAAAACAGGTTTGTAAAACGTGATGCACATCGTGTGGATTACGTAAGATTTAGTTTCTGGGGGAAAAGTCAAAAATGCTTGTTTTGGTACAAATGTAAAATAGCGATCATCCACTAATCAGACTGAAAGCCACACGTCTGTGCATGACTATACTAAAGCATCACTGCATTAAGCAACGTTGCCGTGGAAGCCGCAGACGCCAACAGTGGTGGTACAACCTATTTTAATCCCTGAATGTAATTGACATGAGCTGTAGCCAATGAAAACAAAGGAAGGTAAAACTATCACCAATCAGATTTTTTCTGGGGGTGGGGTTTGCTCAATCCTCAGGACGAGAGAAGGTAACTATGACCAAGATTGTCAGATGAAATCAGCTTCCAGCCTGCGTTAAACACATGTATCCCGTGAAAAAAACTTCTGTCTGACAGGTGTCCACATGACGGTTGAAGACGAAGAAGCAGGCAGCTTTTTTTTATCCGTGGGCATTTTCTCCTCGTCCCGACAAAAGAATTGGCAGAGTTTAAACACCGTTTTTGGTTTGTTTTGCCTTTTTTGGTAAGTCTAAATGCGCAACTATTAGCTGGCTGATAAGAATAGCTTAAGGAGAAACAGAAACAATTGGCTACCTGTGCTCTAAAAACAAAGACACACGTCTTCATGTCAAGTTAATGTGCAACAGAAACCGGTTTTATATCGTGTTTTGTGCCAGTGATAGGAGAAAGAGGGCCGCTGGGGCTGCAAGTAACGGGACACGATGTAGGACAGGAGACAAGATGAGACGAGAAATGATTCACGCAGCCACAGTAGAAGGACTTTATATGAAATCCGCTGTGTCGCGAACTGTTTCATTGCTTGGGTAGATTATGTTTAAGTCATTTTATAAGATTAACATCATTCATTTATGACGTTCCTGGTGATGTCATTAACACTGACTTGCATTACGTAGCTGACCATGTGCTTGAGGTTTTGTTGACATTGCTTGGTAAAAACCGCACAGGGGGTCCCTGTCCCTGGTGTGTTTGTATCGTAGTTAGTATTTTAAACCTTATGTAAATGTGTATATCAGACATGATATGTTGTAAACGTATGTGAAATAGAGACATGAAAACAGTGTACATTACTCTGTTAATTCATTCAGTTTCCATCTCACACTGGGTGAATAAACTTTATACCCAATAAAAAGATTTATCTTAAACTGTTTAACCTCACATTTTTCTTGCAGCTGCTCAAACCCACTCTAATAGGGCAGACATGCAAAGAGGAGTAAATATATAATTGCCTTAGCTGTGTTCAAGTATATATCAATGTCATGGTGTCTGGACACTAGTAGACATTCACACTGTTGCTCCTTTGTTTTCCTCAGCCATTAAATTCACTGCAGGCACGTGGAAGGAGGAGCCTTAAACCAAATCAAGGGATTCCCTGTTAGCCACATCTCTATGGACTTTGGCTTGACTCTTCTCTTACTGAATGGATGAAATGCCTTGACCTGACATCGGCCATACCATGGCACGTTTAGTCTCCTTTGTGGGATTGTTGCTCATGCTCGAGGCTTGTATGACGGTCCGTTGCCAGCACGCTGTGCTTGTTGGGGTGATGCTGTCGGTAACACTGGTAGCAGCTGACTCACCTGTTGCAGGTAAGGTTACACGTTTCGCTGACTAACACAATGTGAACTACTAATTTGTGCCTTGTGTTGCACAACTACATGGATCGTTGTCTTGTACTGTTAAGTAACTTAGTGCTTTTTTTTTTTTAAAGAATAAACATTTCCAGGTCTACCGCACTATGTCAGGGTTACTAATGTGGGCCACTGCAATTAAAGATGCTCATATTTGAACCTTTGGTTGGTACTGTTTTTAATGTGGTTTCTTTATCTTTGGCATGAGTTCTACAGTTATTTTATACCAAAACAAGCTTAAATAATATTGACTCCTCTGACTACAGAACACATTGACTTTGTCTCTCAGTTTATTTTAGATAAAGGTCTCCAAATGTTATGTGTAGCCAGCATAGTGGCTTCAGCCTGGTCAGACACCATTGTAAACTGTTGATTATAGGGCAAAATGAATTGTTGGTAATCTGTAATCTAAGAAACATTGTATATAAATTAATCAAGAAATATTTTGCAATCCAGAGTGGACAATATCGAACCACCATCATCTGTGCTGAGCTTTTGATGGAAGATTACTTTTCTCAAGTAATCTGAATATGCATTAGTAGTGCACCTGCTAATCAAGGAACATTATAGACTTATCATATCATATGTGGGCTTTTTTTAAGATAACCCACCCCATGATAAAACTTTCTTAGAGTGTTATACAGACTTCAATCTCCTTTTAAACAAAAGCATATTATAAAAGTCGTCTAGTCATATTTCATGACTTTTGCCTCTAACCAAAGACACAGATTCATCTCCTGTTTACAGATTTTTTGAATTTCTTTGAACTATAAACTAACTTTACTTGAAATAGGGTTCTTAACAAATTCATTCATGCTTAATGTTGGCAGGCTTCTACCGTTGAACCTCGATATCAGGAGCAAATGGATACTAAAATGAATTTATGCAATGAGTTTAGGGTTTAAATCAATATGTCAGTCAATCAATGATTGAGCATGAACCAGTTTATTAAATTGTAATTTTTTTTCAGAAATTAACATTTTAATTTATACATCACATAACATGCAGTCAGCTCAGAGATGTTACAGTAAGAAGGAGGTAGTCAGTGACGAACTGCCCTGGAAGACTTAGTGTCATCATTTGTCCTGTTCTCTGTCTACTTAGACACCTGAGTGCCTTTATTAATATTTTAGTTTTCATGTTAAAAAACAGTCATGGGTGAATGTTTTGAGAAAAGTGCATTTTTCACAAGCTGATACTCTTAGAAGGTAATAAATTATGCAGTTTATATGAAACTCTTACTGTCACTTTCAACTTCTTTAAATGCTATAACCAAGAATATGAGCTTCCGCTTTGCTCAGTTTAACCACTAATGCATTTGTGTAGTGTCAAAATCCTACATAGAAACCTTTATAACCTAGATTGCACTCCATTAGCCAATTTTTTAAAATAGAATTTTAAAACCACGCCAACTGTGCCTTGTATGTTGTGTTTGGAAATTGTGTATCAAGGGTCTGTCGATTGTAAGTACTATGCAAAGCTTTTTTTAAAAAGATAAAGTAATATTATGGTTTGGGAAATTTAATTGGACACTTTTCCTTTTAAGAAAATAAAGTATCATACTGCAGATGTAATAAAAACCAACGAACAAAACAGATAAAAGTACTTAAACTAAACCGTAAACCTCTCTAGTGCTACTCAGATTAGATGCTCTCTGACCATTGCTATAGTATTGCCAACAGAATGAGTTTTACAGTACATTTCAAGCTAGGCTTCACTATCGTCCTTCACCACTGTATAACACTGTGAATTCACCAGTTTCACTGCCTTTCACATTCAGTCTCAGATAATCACTCTGTAGAATCTGGGTCAAAGAGAGCATGCGATCACAGTAGCACCAGTACCTGCAGACTGAATATCATACAGTGTTCTGTCTCTTTTCTAACTCATCTAAAATGGTCAGGGAGACTATGTGCTGTATATTAATATACTTTATGTTGCACACCACTTCTAACCTTCTGCAATAAATATACTGGCAAGTTCAACACAGCTGGCTTCTGGCCGGCAACATCCTGGCCAATTACCAGAGCAATTGATGGCCATGTGAAATGTGATCCATGCAGGACGACAATATGGCCTTTCATTATTCATTAGTGCTGGGAGTCTTTTGCAAATCAATGGTTGGAACCATCAAAAACCAAACACTAACACTGAGGCCACTCTTGCATTCACCTGTGGCATCAGCACACAGATCTATTGTACTCTTGCATTCACCATGCCTGTGGCATCAGCACACAGATCTATTGGTAGACAGCAGACAACAGTAATGAAGAAACGGTAATGAGTGCATGTGTACAGAATGCATGTGTTGGGGTGAGGAAGATGGGTGGCATTTGCTTGAGCTTGGACAGACAGCTTGATCTAATTGAGCTGCACTGATAAAAAGTATGGGATCTTTCCCATTTTAAAAGGTTTCCTGATAAACCAAATGTCAACACAGCCATATCTAGATTGTTGGGCTGCACTCAGCAAACACAGCTCCTGCCAACAGAAAAGAACCAGTCACGCAAGGGGTTCAACTGAAAACAGAACCATGTGTGAGGCTGCAGTTAGCAAGCATTAATTCCACAAGAGCCTTTCTTCTTTCTCTGTTTTCTTTTTTTTCTTTTGTTATTCCATTTTTTTTCTTTTTAAATTAAACAACCAGTAACCATGTTCTTTAGTAGGTGCTTTAAAAAAAAAGGAAATGACATCATCACAGGGCTCTGTAATTGCCATCTCGGGTTTCACAACGTAGGAACAAGTACATGCAGTATACTGAGGGTGTCTATATGATTCACTGTGGTGCCAGCATGGGCTCTATGGTGGTACATGATGTGGTCTCCCAATTGTCTACATTTATCCTGTTTGATCATCAATTTAGATTTGAAGTCTGGATAACTTTTTTAATTTTGTAGTACCTGTAAAATTGGGTTGCAACAGCCATAAATTGCCAAACATTAGTCTTAACTCTGCTTTTACCAGGTTAATAATAAGCCCCTTGTGTGAAGGCAGACTGAGACCACTACATGTTTATTTTCATATACTGGCCCGGAACAACTTCATTTCCAAATATATATTCTCTTAAAAGGGTAAATTATTCACTGAACAGTCCTGCATTGGATTTTATTTTTTTTATTTAGTAAGTAATAGAGACAGATAAGAGATTTTCTATTATTCAATTGTAGACATCAGCAAAGTAGTGTCTGCAGACAGACTTTATCAGGCTAACTCAGTTTCAGCCTTGAGATATGTTTTAATGAGAGGACAGTGAAACCAGAATCACATTTTATCAGTGTTTATTGTTGTAGCCGTCAACAGTTTTGTTTTTTGTTTGTTTTGTTTTTGTTTTTAACTGACTCTTTTAAAAAATATATTGAATAATAAAATCTGGCCTGGTTATCGAACCTTATCAGTAACATTGGAAAGACACCACTGGTGAATAATGTGCTTGATACATGTTGTCATGTCATGTTATTTTAACTGTGAACATAAGGGTTTAGTTTGATTTAATTTGGTTTAGTTTGGGTAAATGTCAACAGCGTAACTCACTTGTATTTGTTTGTTGTTGTTTGTATTTTGGAAAAAGCAGCTGGACTGTTTGTAATGTTGTTAGATTATGCACTTATTAAACATTTATTTCTTAGGTAAGAAAAGTTCCCCAATGTGGGTCTTTTTTGATCAAACATTTATAATAAAATACAACATAGAACCTTTTTTTTTTTTTTTTTTTTTAGAAACACTTTCTTGTTCCAATCATGTCATGCCAAGTAAGTGCTAAAATCTATTGAGCTAATGAGTCAAATGCTGGCATTTACTCTTGTGACCTGATATGTCAAAGTACGTATTGATATTAGTGTTAATTTCAGTGACAGGCCAAACAATGGACGAGTGTCCATTCGAGTGTGTCACACTCGTGTTTCAGGAACAGGTGGCATCGCAGCTTAGTCATGAAGGCCTTTGTTAGTTTAAGGCTCCTGTAATGTCACCTCTGATGTAAACTAGTCTCACTTGCTCTTTTCCATCTGTTACTCCCACCACCATTACCATAGATTAGACTGCAGGTATTAAATCACTCCCTGCTCAATTATTTAAAAAATGTAAAAAGTCACCTGCAATACAAAAACATAGTTAAGTCTTGTCTCTCCATCTCTGATAGAGAGCTATCTCTGTTTTTATGTGTTTAATTGAAAACTTTTTTTTTGATTTTCTGAAAAGATCAACAATAGTAAAACTATAATATATATATACAGTATATATACTGTATATACATATATATCTATATGTATGAATACAAAATGCAGACAGTGAGCCGTTGAGCATATATAAGGAATTAGGTCATCAATAAAGCACATTGAAACAGTAAAGTGCCTGTTTCAGAATTAAGTGACTACAAATATACGTGTGTGAGAAACTGTTACCCAGTTTCAAACGTCTGTAAACATTCTATGTCCATACTAGTTACTGACCTGGAAAATCCAATAGAAGTTCAGTTGTGGAAGACATTCATGTTTACACACTTCATTACACATTCATTATTTACACACACACATATACTGACTCCTGGCATGCTTTATCCTGTATACATATATAAATTGGATCGATATTCTCAAAATTAGCATAATGTTTTTTTGAAGAAATCTCCAAAGCACTGACTACAATGATGGATCAACTTCAAAGGTTTAAAGTGGCCTCATTTTGTTCTATCCGTTACAACTCATTTCCATCTAAAGACAATGGATCAGATCTCTTCTTTTTGCCCTAATGTTCATGTACGTGAACCTGCAGTGATATTCAGTATCCATATTATTTTGAGGTAAATGAATCAATATTATCACTAATCCCCTGTGAGCATAATTAGTTCAATGTAATATTTTTAATTATGCATGTGGGATTGTTCTAAACTGAAACCTTACATAAATTAAGGTTTTATGGCCAATGTTGTTTATTAATAACATGAACATAATCTCTGTAATACATACAGTATTAATGGTTGATCACAGTGTTTGTTGTGTTCACCCTATGATTTTGTCCCTGCGTATTTGCCTGAATGTGAGTTAAAACCCCCGAGGGTTTAAATACTTGTCAGAGTGGAAGAGGATATGTACTGCAGTTTGAAGACTCTACACCAAATGCTAACTCTAAGAGAACCAGGACTTTGGCTTTCTAGACATTTTTCCAAGATGTTGGCATATTGAGTCAATTAAGGTGTCGGCATAGGTTGTACTTAATTTGAGACTTCTGTTTTTGGCAAAGTTAGAAGCAATTTATTTGAAGAAGTTTCCAGAAAGATGTTTTTGTTTATGTTTAAGCAATTTTTAAATGATCATTTTTCTGACCTTGATAAAAACATTCAAAGATGTTTTGCAGCTCTTGTTCACTATCAAAACCATCACCATCACCAGCTGATGAATAATGCAGACTATGGGGGTGTTGCTTCTGGAAGTGGCAATATTGAATGTTTGTTAAACACCTCCTTTCTGGGAAAAATAAAAGACGTAGCGTCTACGTCAAGGGTCTCAAATTCAAGTAAGGTGAAGCCCACTGTTGCCCCATTAAAGGGCCAACTTACAACAGGCGTTCAGATGACATTATGCTGACATCCAGTTGCTAGCCACATTTGGGTGGACCTGGGAACTCAAACTCTGGACCATGGGCTGGGGTTTTTGAGACCCCTGGTCCATGTTGATCTATCATCGTTAAAAATCACTTTTATCTCTATGCTCTATTTTAATGTAGCACATCAAACCAAAAGTGCAATTAACTTCAATGCTTTTGCCTGTTATAATTATATTGTGGCCAATGACCTGTTTCTCTGTTTTCAAGGGCAAGTTGCTTTAATTATCAAAAAAAGTTTTCTCAACTTATCCTCTGCTGAAGTTTAAACACTTAAATAGACACAAAAGTATCTATTTCCTTTGTGGAATTTCTTCTCTGTAGAATACTAACGATTGTCTTTTGTACTACTTTAGTTCAAAATCTGCTTCTTTGCATCGTCTAAAGTATTGAAATCAGTTTAAGAAAAGAAAAAGTCAGATAAAACTGGTTCAAACACTTAAACAATATTTGAAGGGGTTTTTCCAAATAAATTGAAAAATTTGATGTTTGTTCTAATTTCGGAATAGTTCAATTTTAAGGGTATAAGTACCTAACCAAAGACAATGGACGAGCAAACGTGCTAAAAGGTCTGTACAGTAGTCACTTAATAAATAACTAATGCAGAGGTTTTAAAACAATAGGCTATTCAGGTGTTTAGCTAAGGATTAGCATTTAGTTCTGATTTGGTTTTGTTTTCTGAACTAAACACACTCAACAATTAATTGCAGATTCCTTTCTCTTACTAGTATTTATTTTAGAAGTACCCCTACCCCATCTATACTATAGAGTTCCTCTATCATTCTGATAAACCATGCTCACGGTTTCATGGGGCCAACATTATAGCTGTCAATATTACATTGATTTGTTGTGAATATGAGCCGTAGTTAAATATAACATTCCAAAGTCAACACAGCTTGACCTGTGACCGACAGTAGGTCATATGTTATTACCCTATATAAAATTCTGTGACCTTTGCCCTCACAGTCAGACATTGTTGCATTTGCTAATTACATGATAAATTGTGTCCTATAAATGTTTTTCTGAGCCACTGTTTGTGTTGTATTCTTTAAAATAAATATGTTTAATAACCAGGGTGTGTTCTCAGTAATGCTACACATTGTAACATAAAGAAAAGTATGTTACAGATATTGTTGGTTACACTTGTCCCTTTATTCCTGCAGATGGGTCTCCATCATCACCCACTGGTGATGCCTCCAGGAACCAAGATTCACCTGGTGCCCTGTCATCATCATTAACAGAACCTTACAGTGAAGCTACAACAGCAGAAACGTATTTCCCAGAACCCCCTCATCTGGCTTTCTCCCTCTTACCAGCAGATGAATCTTCCAGTAAATTATTGGCTTTGAACCAGCTCAGCCCAAGTATTGTTCCAATACAGGACAACAAACCAGCAGATGGAATAAACAACTCTCCCAGCTCACAGTTTATGGCCCATGGGAACAATGTGCCTTCCTTCACACTCCACCCTACGTCACCTTTATTTGAACAGACTGAGGAGCCCACTGAGGACTTCCCCTACTACCCCTTCAACACAATGGAGGTGGACTGGGGGTCTGGGGACTACCAGGAAACTATGTCTTTCTTAGATTCAAATGGCGATAATTACCCAGTAGTCACCAAGGTCCCCTCTGATTCCTACGACCTAGACGACTTTACAGAAAGCTATGACACATCTTTCCCTCCCAGAGTAGGATTATCTGTTTCCTCCGTTCACCCACTTCACATCATGCCTTCTCACAGCCTCATAACAGTTCACACCAACATTGTCCCCTCAACATCCATCCATCCTTCCTCATTTACCTCCACAGTCCATTATACACTAAAACCCACTCCCACAGCTGACATTGGTGACACATCCGACATGGACTGGTCTGATGCTTTTACCATTCACCCAACAGATGTTCTATTACCCGACATGAACAGTTTGGAGTATTACACTATTCAGTTGAACAAGGAGAACAGCAGTTCGAGCACTGGAGCTGAACACAGAGGCAATATCACTATGGTTTCCATCACAACCTCAGAGGTCACACCCACTTCTAGCTTTAGCAATAGTTCCCACCTGCTGGAGGATGAATCCTCCACTGATTTATCAGGGTTTCCACCGCAAGAAGAATCGGTCACAGTGGAGACCCCTCAGCTGGTTAGCGTCTCTGAGCCGTATTTGACACCTTCAATAGCCTCCACTCACCTGTTTGATCCCTCGTCCTCCATGTGGGTTGGTAAGGTGTTAACCACAGATTGGTCAGCGTCTTTTCATACAGTCGATGCGAACAGTTCTGAACCACCAGAAACATTCCCAACACGTGGACACACAGAGCTGTTGCCAGATTATGTCACGTCCTCTTCTTTGACTGATGTCCATTGGTTTGTTACCGAAGTATTTGAAGAAAATATAATAATCAGTACTCCAGTGTTAACTGCAAATTCTGCTTCATCTGCTGTTTTCACAGAACCTTTTACAAGTACCACCGCTGGTACCATAGAGCCAACTGCCCAGGACATTACTTTAACAACTGAACAAACGTATAACGTCAGTTTAGACTTCACTGAAGGCACAACTAATGTCACTGTGGCTGGTGAGGGCGTAGTTGAAAACATCTCTACCACAACGACTATAATCCCAAACAACAGTGAATCAGTTCCCTCAACTACAACTGCTACCACTAATTCTCACCAATTTACCGCTGAAGCCTTCACTAGTACCAATGAAAAGAGCATAACCACAGAAGAACCGACCAGACAGTACCTCTGCCATCCAGACACCTCTGCCTATTTAGTAAAAATGGGTAAGTTTGACATCTTATAGGTTTGTCAGTAGAATTTATAATATGGTGTGGCCTTAACGGTTTAGATGAACTACACTGAAAAAAAAATTTAAAAACAAAACTTTTTTTGTAGTCTACTTTTTTGTGCAATATGAAAATGATTGTAGCCAAGCATTTTACATGGTAAAATCAGAAAATGCATCTTGTGGTTTTAATAAGACAATCCAAAAAAATTAAGAATTTTTTACTGATATTAAGAATTCCTTAACCACATGGTTTCCAAAAAAGGGTACAGCATCCTTAGGGGGTGCAAAGTTATTGCAGTGGGTGTGCATAAATTTAATTTGGGGGGCAATATTCCAAAAAGAAGGAACTGATTAAATATAACAATATTTTTCCTATTGCTAAGGGGTCAATTTTTTGCAGTTTAACCTGAAGATTTTACTGTAACAAGGGACATTTCTAACAGAAACATGTTTTATCCAATTAAAGGGTTTCCATCTGGGGTCACTACTGGTTATGCTAGATCCCAAATCAGAGATACACTGAAAGGAGAATTCAACAAGTCTGTGGAGCTGCAGGTAAATATACATTTCTCTTATGTACTCTTCTGGCATGCTGTACCATACATACAGTGTTCCACAATCTTCTAAAATGAACAGTAAAATGGTCCTATATGGGGAATCTGTCATGTGATGTCTGTTACTGTATCAATGCCTGTTGTACTGTGTTTTTGCCTACAATCCACTTTGTTGGGTTGAATATTAATTGTAGTGGTGCAGATAAAACTATAAAGTCAATCCCTAATCCTGCAATAAACTACACTCATTTGAACCAATCAGCTGATCAGTGATTTGTCTCCTCTATATACATTTTTGCTGTGTCTGTGTTAGGTTGTGGACCCCCCACCAAACTTTGTTTTCCGTGTGGTGTCTGGCCCTGTTGTGTACACAGCCATATCTGTCGTCAACTCCCTGCGAAGTACTAGGGGGCGCTTCCTGTACGTGTCTCCCAGCTGGACAACACCTGGTAGTAAATACCAGGTTCACACAGGTACAGTACATTTCATCATTACTTCAAATACACACATGTCAGAGTTTGAGTTTCAGTGCTGATCATTTACATACTAATATTTTAAATGTATTTCATTTTTTCCCTCATCTTTACTTTGTACAGTGTTGCAGTTTGTTCCAAGTCACATAGACGTGCGATTCTGCACCTTTAGCGAGAGCATTGAGAAAGGATTGACCATGGCCTTCGCAGAAGTGCGTCGACGCTTAAAGCAGTCAACAAACTTCACAGTCCATGTGAGTATGAACTGAATATAGAAGAAAACCTCACATTGACTTCAATTAACACAGTTTTTTACACTATTGAAATGTTCAGTGTTTAGCCCAAGACATCCAAGTTGTCAGTGTCAGTCTTGTGAAAGAGAACATTTAGTTTAGCTTTTTCTTTCAAGGAATTTCAGTTGTGAGTTGTTAGCCAGTTGTTAAGTTTGGATGAATTTTATGAGTTTAAGATTTGTTTTAACACAGCTTCTTCTTAAACAACAAGCAAAACCCTTCCGAAAATTCAGTACTATTTTTACGCTTTAAGATTCAACAAGGGATTCAATAAATTTGCAGAAATTGAAAAGTTCCAGTTGCATGGTCTGTCTGCTGCTTAATTATATTTATTATTCTTCTGTTTGTCTTTCAGATTTTAAACATCACCATGACTGTTCCAAAAAAACAGGAGCAACGACTACTGAGGCAACCAGTTGACATCACCTTCACCGTACGTGGATCTGGTGGATACCTGAATGGGTCAGAAGTCAGCAATGCATTGATGAAGCTCAGCAAGGTGGAATTCAGTTACTACATGGGTTTTCCTGTGCTGCAGGTTGCTGAACGTCAGTATCTCAGAGTCAACTTGGCACAACTTAAATAACTTCATAAACACATAAAAAATAACACTAATCTCTGTCTCCACAGCTTTCCATTATCCAGAGTTGAACACCAGCAAATCACTGCGATCGTCCTGGGTTAGAACAGGTATTTCTGAGTGTAACTTTTAACTGTAATGAGGTTACAGAATCTACAACAACAACAAAAATAACAAATGTTTTTACAAATTCCCAATCATCCTGTCTATGTCTATAGTGCTGCTAGGTGTACTTGACCAGGAAGTGCACGAGAGAACTTTTCAAGCCAACATGGAGCGCCGGGTGGCCATGTTACTTGGTGAAGCTATGGGACCAGTCAGACGTGTTAAGAGAGCCACAACTGTGGGCAACAGCAGTGTGCAGGTACAGTACAGAGTATATCTATATTTAGGAATTAATAGTGAACTGACTGATTCAGGTTCAGTTAGGTTTATTTGATATGAAAGTTAAAGAATACTGCCACTTTTTATAGGTAATAATTTATGTGCTCAAAATGCATAGTCCTTTCTGGACTACATTAGTGTGCTGTGGGAATTCATCATGTGTACCATAGAAAATTATCCAATTTCACTATCAGAGCTGTTGAAAAAGAACTCCTTGTGTGTCTTTCTTTAATTACTGATAGTTTATCAGTGTTGTGTTCAACTAAACAGGCCCAGGTTCCACACTGAGTGAGTAAATTTGGGGTAAATTGAAACTAAAAGATCATTATATTTCAATACATATGCTTTTTGTCACATTTGTGCTGCACATGTACTTACTAGACTGGTGGCCATAAAAAATACCTTTTTGAAATGTAGAAGTAGTAGTTTTTCTTTTCTTCTGTTACTCATTTAACCTTTTAACAATTTAATTCCAATATTACCATTCCTCTTGTTTTACCTTGTTACAGTCTCATTATTACCACCTCGCCTTAGTACTGAGGGCTCATTTATGTGAGAAATGTTTGCGACCAGCGAAAACAGGGCTGATTTACTAATCAGGCTGTGGCTTTTGTGGGTTCTTTCTGCACCTGTTCAGCTCATTTCTAAGGGGACAGGATAGGGCTCTGTCACCATAGCAACACCATCTCCATTCAGCCCAGAGTCCAGCCACTCAATCAAGGCAACCTCACGAGTCCTTGTTCTTTATCCTATTTCTCATTTTTTCTGGAGCTGTTACTCAATGGCTCATGTGAGCTGCAGAGCTGCTAAGAACAGATCAATTATTCATTTTATCTGTGTCTGTGGATCCTGCACTTGCCAAAGTCAGTATTAGGACTGTTAGTGTCCAAGGCTGAGTATTTGGAAGAACAAAATTGAGACGTGAGGATAAAAGATCCAAAAATGAGTCAAACACAGTAGACTTAAAACAAAGTCTTCCTGTTGTTGGGGATAAAACGCACACAACTGATAATAAAACCAGTTTATTGTATGTAGTGTTCCTAAAAGTGCTGTGATAAACATCATTTTTGGCTGATATATCTCAAACGTATATCTCCTACATTTTTGTTGTTGTCTTAATAAAACCTAGGGAGTCAGGTTTAATACATTCATGTTTTTGTAGTTTTTGCACATTGTAGATAACTACTTTAATAGTACTTTTTACTTTCAAATAAGAATAGAATAATAGAAAACACAATAGAGAAACAGTATGAAAGATTATAACATGTATTCTTATAAAATAGAGACATGAAAAGTAAAAGTATAGTAAGTATAATTACAGTTGAAATGTATACTGTATAGTATTATGTATTGTAAACTGTGGGAAAAGTCCAATATAAAGCTATAAATATGACAGTAACAGATATATAAAATATGTGAATAAATTACAGATGAAAAGTGAAATAGGAAGGAAAAATTGCAAGAGTTACATATGTAGTATTTTTTCTTTTATTCATAACACCATGAAATTCATTCATTGTAATTCATTATTGATGATACAAACGCATTGAAAATTATCAGTGTGGGTCTCCCACCACATATGAGAACTCCTCAGGAGTCTGTCTGGGCAGATGATGGAGGTTGAATTTGGGTCATGCTATGACACACATTCACATCGCTGGCTTTCCACTCTAATAAACATGTATAGAATGGATTAAATTCTAGTCGTGGTAGTGAGTCCAGTCATTTTTCTGTGCCAGTCCAGGCATGAACTCTGCTCTGTGCACTAATGCAGTCAGCAGACTGTGCAGTGCTTCAGGCTTTGCAATGATAGACTACACACACACACACACACTCAGACTTATGCACACAAACACACACGGTTCAATCAACCTGATATTTCTTCTCCTCTGCATAATCAGTTCATACTTCAACATAACCTTATTTCTCATCACATTTTACACTAACTTTGACCAGATTAACCTTCCGCCTCACTAAGACCAGACTTGCGAAGTATTTAAAAGTTAACAGCACACAGAAAGAGGGAGAGAGAAACATTCAAATTAAATGTTTTCTTTTTGTTATTATGGTTATCATAGGTAGAAAACAAGTGACTCTTCTTTACAATAGAAAGTTAAATATAAACCCGCAGGAACTAGGACAGCTAAATGTGACAGGCTAATTTTAGTTTCTGTAATTATGAAAACCATAAATATTAATTATGCTTCTGTACTTTGATGAATATGAGGTACCGTCCTACCAGTTAAAAAGTCATTTTTTATGTCATTCATCACCACTGTTAGTCAGTTGAGAATTCATTTGTGGAAGCACCTTTTCCTTCAACTTGTTGGAGCATTGTCCATATCATTAATGCACTGGGAAAACGACAGTTTAGTAGTGATAGGTGATAGAAAACACATTTGACTTATGCTCATTTACCCTCCGATAGTTTGGATTCAGCTTACTCCACTTGATTCGATAATGTTGTAAATGTTCCAACAAAGTCAGAGCTAATACAAAAAATAGTAAACATCACAGACCAAAAACGTTTACATACATATTACTAATCAATAGCTAGATCTCTATATTTTTTTCTACCATTCAAGCTTAATGACCTTTGCTTGTTAGAAGAAACTGAGCTTCCAGTCGCAGGTCGAATTAGATAGTTTGGTGGGCTGGATTTGGCCACAGGGTGGTAAGAATACATTAAATAAGTAACTCACTGTTCAAAATAAATGGCTTCTTTATTAGGATATACTGTATATGGCTGGACTTTTCTATTGACAATATGGATTCAATCATCTTGCTCCATACACCCGATGATGATGATGATGATGATGATTAGACATATATGGGTATTTTCACACAGTCACACAGTGTAAAATCAGAAGATAAACCTTGGCTTTATTTCCCAAATTTATGTTACAAGTATTTTGCTAATGAATTGTGCTTTTTTTGGTTTGTCAACCTATAGGTTGTGAATGCAAGCCGTCTGGTGGGTGAAGACCACCCGTTGGAGATTGTGTATTTTGTGGAGGAACACGGCGGTCAAAGAGTGCCTGCTGTCCAGACAGCCAACCTGCTCAACAGCCTGGACGTTCAGAGGGCTGCCATCGTCTTGGGATATCGTGTCCAGGGCATTTTAGCCCAGCGTGAGTACCTCCTCCACAGTAGATAACAGACATCCAAGGGCAGCCGACTGATGCTGCGATTATTAAGATGGTCCTTGACATGGACAAAGTAAATTTGAGCTTCCTGAAGTAGTGGAAAGACACTGAGTCATAGCCATTTACTTGCTTGTGAAATGAAAACATCATGGACAATAATGGATGTCCTTAATTTTGCAAAATATTATTCATCCATATTGTTCTTGCTTTTACTGTTGTTGTTGTTGTCTTGCATCTATCAGCAGTTTCCCCTTTTTTTCTTACACCCTTGTCTTGTAATGCTGTTCTAACATTATTTTCTTCTGATCTGCTGCTTACATTTGTATTACAGTAGGTGATGTTCAGGCTTTTTGAGGGTTACATTTCTGTCTAGAGCTAAACTGATAATACAGAAAATATCGTGAGAATTGTTTCCTAGTTCTTAAAGACATTTGGCTTCAGTTTTTTCCTTTGTATACATAGAGTATATGTTCATGGTAACTTTGGAGCTAATTACTTCTTTGATGCTCACACTGTACTAATAGCCTGTCATCCTCATTAAGAATCTAAACATGAGCTGAAAAGCACCTCATGGGAGTTACGGTTCTGATGTGTTCCCCTTTTAATTCTTTCCCAAGGGATGAAATCAGTGTTAATTAAAACTAATTAAGTTCTCTACTGAAGATCGCAACAAGAGCAGCGCTGCAAAAATAACTACTAGTAAGCATAGCTTTGTAGTTTGTCATTTATAAAATATATATATATATATATATATATATATATATATATATATATATATATATTTGTATTGTTGGGAGATAGAGTGTGTGT